CGAAATTTTTACTAATCTAAGTGCATTTTATAAGTTAAACTTAAAAAAATGTTACTTAGCTGTGATAGTTTTCCTTTTAACTTCATTATATATGCTATTATCGTGTATACTATTAACATTTTTTTTTTTTATAGAATAAGGGTGACAAACGAGCACACAGTCCACCTGATGGTAAGTGGTTGCTGCGGCCCATAGACATCTACATCTATCCTCTGTTACAAATCAAAATGTAGATGCGTTGTCACCCGTGAGGACTAAGATGGAATGCCTCATTTCCAGTAAAAAGGGCCTCCGGCCACCTGCACTCACCAAGCGAAACGCAGAGGTAAACCTCTACTTCACGCTGGTTTTCTGTGAGGTCGTGGTACTACTCCGGTTCGAGCCGGCCCATCCGTGCGACAGCAAAAGCTGCCGCGTGGCTCTACCACTGTTAAAATTCAGTTTGTAGAGGGGGGGGGGGGGGAACACGTGATACTAATGAAAAATACGACTTTAAAGCTAAATATTTCGCAAACGGACCTCTGAATCGAAAAGATATTGTTCCACGCTCCCAATGTTTATGAAAGACCTATCCAACGATACCCCACACGATGGAATACACGGGCAAAAAATCATCCTCCATTTAGTTGTACAGGAAGTACCCAAAATAAAAAATTTATGTGAGTTTTGTAGGCGTGATTAATATCTCTAACTTTGCCAAATTACAGATTTGTAGCACCTAGGGTCTCTGAGTAAAACCGCGCATGGACGGACGGACGAACATGGCAAAACTATAAGGGTTCCTTGTTACATAACTACAGAACCCTAAAAATGACACTTGATGCACCTACTTTTATTTTAATTATGTTTTTTAACTGCGTATGGTTTCGCGTAAAATACATACAAAAACTACAGCAGAATTGAGAATGTCCTTATTTTCCTAAGTCGGCTAAAAACAGCTTTGATTTGATTACGTAACAATCGAGATTATTTGTCGCCTTGTTCTAAGTGTAAATATCGTGGATAAATTTTAAATGTAATCATTAATTACAAGCTACTAGCGACAGTCGCCATAGCAACGTACTCGTATTGAGTAACTATGTAGGTACGATCAGCAGAAAATATAATATAATAAATACGTAATCTGATTATAAAATTACAGTTAAATTTATGTTCAATAGCTGTTTTATTACTACTTTACTGTTCAATGTATCATGTATATATCCGCCGCAAAGGTCTATCAGTTCTATCATATAAGCAGCTCAGACCAACACAAAAAGAAAGACGAATCACTACGTACATTTCAAATAATGTAAAAATCAAACTAAAAGCATACTAACAACCAAGTAAGAACACGCACTGACTCACGCAACAACATGGTTTTAAGTCCATATATGTCCGTCAAACACAAAAATTTTACGGGTTAGTAAAGTAAGAATGTGTCCGTAAGAGCGTGTCAAGAAGTTGATCATGCTTCCGGCATCACTTAAAATATAGGAAGTACTGCATCTATCTTTTTTTGTTGATCTAAGTTACTAATGTAGTTTAATTAGTCAAGTCGTTCAACAGTTACACGATCACTGACAGACGACAATGTAAAGATATATGTATGTGCACAAAATACTTGTACCGTGCGGGATTCTTAAACGAGACCTGCGGCATCACAGGCAAATTTTTAGCAGTCTGTACTTTTATGAACTAAAGTTAACATTTTAGTTGTTTTATATGTTAAAATAATTTATAATATGATAATATTATAGTTGAAGAAAACTTAAAATAACACGCATTGATCATGAATTGTGCGGGTATAAACGATAATTTGTAAAGTGTATTGTATATGACAATCACAGAAGTTACGCTTTCCGCCTAAGAAGTTAAAATATTAAAATTTATATTAAACTCCTGGTTTGAAAAAAGGAAACACGACAGTTTATCAGTTATATTTTCTAAACCTAAAAGGTTCCTGCATATTCAGTAAAATGCATTAATTGAAAAAGTTCTAGTAGCAACTGAAGTAATTCAAAGCGTTCACAATTAATTTTCATCTTTAGTGCACGGTTTTTTTTTTTCAATGTTTATAAAAATGTTTATATCTAGATGGAGTGGCCTGGTAAGATATGAAAGCATTCGATGGATATAGGTTACTCAGCACCGTGTATTGGGTACTCCTTGAGACAGGCTTATTTTCAGCAGTAGATTTGTTAAAGTCTGAAGTAAGCGATGATGATGAATATTTACAACAATGATGATGAAAATAGCTAATATATCATATTATAGTCCTACTAAACATATTGCGTTTGCTCGCTGAATGGTTATACTTGGCCTTTGGGCGAGAAAAGGTCCAGCCCTCTTGTCACCAGCGGCGACAAAAGGGACAATAACAAAACCTATAAACCACACGGACCCCCATATAAGCCACATGGACTCATAATCTCTACAATAAATAGCATAAATGTATAGGTACATAGTCATTTCGTTTTTATTTATTTTGATAGTTTTTATAAATGAGTCAAGCGAGTATACGCCTCATCATCGTTGGCCGTGAACATCTGCAACACCATAAAAATTTCAGGTGCGTTATCGGCCTTAAAGGAGTAGGGTCTTTCCTTGGTGATCGTAAATTCTACAATGTGCTTATGTTTGGCAAAAAATAAATAGTATAAAGCCTACTTATCACAGCTAAATGTTTAAAAAACCAAGGTTCACTCGTCCTATCCAACTTATGCCTAGTGAGACAACCGAGATATGTTTATGCGACATAATCAGAGATTGCTGCGGTTTTAGAGATTTTTTTATTTTTAACTTTTATATAAATTTACTATAATATAGTCCCACATAGCTAACTGACTAAGCTTAACAAATATAAATTTGCCCTTGGCTTTCAGACACCCACATTTCCCAGATTCGGGAACAAATACAAATGATGTCCGTACGTCAAAATTTCAGACCCATCCAAACCCGCACAAATATTGAATACGGCCATTCATTTCATTCTATTATAACATGATTGATGAAGAAATACACTTCCGAAATTGTAATTTTCTCGGATAGCTAGTTGTCATCGTTATTAAAATTGACTCGAAGTACATCGACTTGTAACCTTGTAACGTCAATGTTTCGTAATACTTCCAATCGATTAATAATATATATATCAATATGAACAATAACAAGTAAATTATACATATATAAATTTAAAATAAAAAGAAAACCACTGCTGTAATCAAACTAAAATGTACTCATTAATGGGTTTCTAGTAATATCAAGTAATAAGTAAGTTTAAATTTAAATCTCAAGTTTTTGACAGTTCATGACAACCACATCTATTTTATGGTATATTGTCTATGCTGAAGTTGCCATGATGTTACCCGTACAATTATGACTAATCAATTAAAAAGTCAATTGTCAAAACAAGGGACATTAATATTTTTTATATATAAATTAACGGCGGTAATAAATACATACATACCAGACAAAAACATTACACTCCTTCTGGCCTTAGCTGTCATGTAAAAAGATTATAAATCACATTAAAAGATATATCGATGGCATCGACAAGAAACAAATTACAACAAAAAGCGGCAAATCTCTGCAACGTTATATTAATTACGCGACTGATTTTCTGTCTGTCCTTGGCGATGCAATACCTGTGCTTTGCGAATAAATCAGCTAGCATTTACACCATCCCGGGTCATAGTGTCAGAACAATATCATTTTATCGCTCCTACAGATATTTAGGATGTTGTACAACTACTTTAAAATGATTGAGGACTTCTCTATGTACACATACTCTTATATAAAATAGAGGTGTTTGAGGAAGGACCAATGGAGGATGATGAACATGGACAAAACAAAGATCATATTCAATGTCCATGTCACACCTATGCCGGTAGTTGTTGCGAGCACTAAGCTCGACGTTGTTGACGAGTATGTACCTGGGACAAATAGTCCGACTAGGTAAGTCCAACTTCGACCGAGAGGTCAATCGACGGATTCAACTCGGTTGGGCAGCGTTCGGGAAATTACGGCACATCTTCTCGTCAGCTATACCTCAAAACTTGAAAACGAGACTGTACAACCAGTGCGTGTTGCCAGTGATGACTTACGGATCTGATCTGATGTGTATGAAGAAGCTCAAGGTCGCCCAGCGAGCTATGGAGAGGGCTATGCTCGGAGTTTCTCTGCTTGATAAACTTAGAAATGAGGATATCCGCAGTAGAACCAGAGTGACCGACATAGCCCAACGGATTAGTAAGCTGAAGTGGCAATGGGTCGGCCATATAGCTCGAAGAAAAAAGGTTCTCGAGTGGCGGCCTCGTACCGGCGGACGAAGTGGAGGGCGTCCCCCCACTAGATGGAGTTACGACCTGGTAAGACATGCAGGAAGTCGATGCATGCAGGTGGCTCAGGACCGTGCTTTGTGGCATTCCTTGGGGGAGGCCTATGTTCAGCAGTGGACTTGTGAAGGGCTGTAATGATGATGATGATGAATGCAGATTAAAAGAATAGTCTCATTTATTTAAAAAAAGTAATTTTAGTTAAAATGCGTTTCTTTTTCTTTCAAAATTGGAAAATTTTAATTGGAATGATTTGAGTAGCACATCTCTCAATCAAACTATGGATAAGGGTGTGGGTTACATAAATATTTAGTTGTGTTTTTCAAGGCTCTGTTCATTTATATATGTTTATATATGTTTACAATATAATTACGTTAACTGCAGCCGAAGGACCCAAAAAAAACCGAAACTAGTTTAAAATACTTTATTATAATATAAAAATTACAATATAATTACTATAACTAAAATATAAGTGAATCAGATCGATGCTAGATCTAGAATGAATTTTAATTATTACAGTAAAAATAAGGTAAAGGTATATTGCAGAGCTCCGGTTGCATCCGTTGACGTCAATGCTCACGTTCTGCTGAGTTGCGCCTCGTGCCGCTGCAATGTATCGGGGTCGCTGCTGTGTAGGCTCTTTACCTATGAGGCTATGTTATAACTCCTCCACCCTCAGATCAGCAACTATTTTAGAACCTTGAGAGAAAAAGTTGCTGGTAATGCCTTTTTGACTTCAGATTCTTCGGGCTTTTCATAGCTATGTTGGGTGCTATTCTGGATCTGTTCTTGCTTCTTAGTCTTGTAGTAATAACGAACTGAGATTATGATAGCGAATATTGCAATGCTTGATAACACGGCGTAAAAGGGAATAGTGGTGTGATATAAAGTTGGGAGATCCATCTCTCTCAGATGAAGTGGTGGTTGCATCATGAGTTGGTCCTGGGCTGCGTGGAGTCCTTTCAGGTTAATTGTATTAAGGCTGATTCGTGGTACTGCTGGGTTGCCTTTTGTGTTTATATCCATTGGTATTTTCATTAGTTTCAGTGGATGGCCTTCTACTTGATCGTTAATATTGGTGATGGTGAATTCTTGTGTTCGCAGGAAGCAATTAATTGGTATTGTAGCTAAGTAACTACCCTGTAATGTAGTAATATCTTCACGCCCGCATACTGTATGGACTTTAGTTGGTTGAGGGAAAGAGATGGTGTAGTGCTTGTCGTCAAGACGTTCCATGGCTTCTTTTGATAGTGCAATGTCGGTTATCTTACAGGATTTTGATATAGACTGATTGATGATGAGGTTCTGGATACAGTCGGATTGTGTTCGAATTTGGGTGTTCGTTTCCTTTTCGCATAGGTACCGATTACTCAACTTCGGACATTCTGTCTCCATGTACACGAATTTTTCTCTATTTGTTGCTATTAAAGGATAGGGTGGAATAATAGATTGGTGGTTTTTGTTAGGTACAATGGATAAGCGGAATAGGTCGAAGGTGTCTTTGGAAATAACAGGGAATTTTAGAACAATTACTATTTGATTTTCTGTAAAATAATAACCTGACTTAATGATATCGTAATATTCTCTAGTCTCTAAATTTAATACATGTTCCTTATCATAAATTTGTCTTAATCTTACTAACATAGACTTAATTACCGTAACACTTAACGTAGAATGGTGGGTGCTCGATGCACGACTAAATGCTAATATATTTTCTATCCTATTAAGCTCATTGAGCATATCATCAATATTTTCTGTTAAAATTGTTAGTAGTTGGGCAAACTTAGCATACTTGATGAGGCTACTGTCTTTATAAGCGGCTCTATCTAGTAATTGGATAAGCGTTGAGTTAATTTTGTTCTCGTTTTCAATTATCTGGGATATCACACTATTATGTTGTAACATCCACTCTTTACTAATGCTAATGTGACTATTGAATTCAGATTCGATCCTATCTTGGTTATCCTTTAAAACTTTTATGGCATTATTATATTTCGCGGCATCTAAATAATCTAGATTACCGGTTACGCTTTTGATCACTGAGCCTAATCCGTCTACTAGACCTCTCTTAGTGCGACTAGGCTCTAAGCTATTTAGTTGTAATAATACTTTGTCTAGTTTGCTAGAAAGATAGTCCATTTGTAATTCGTACAGTAAGTTGGTGTCATTATCAAGTCTGTTCTTGTAGTTCTGTAGCTGTACCTGCAATAAGGTTACTTTGTCTCTGATGTCGTCAAGTTTTACATATTGAAGAAATGTATGATAGTGAGTTATGAGAGTCGTTGGTCCAAGTCTAAATGGTAGTAGGCCTGGTCCGTCTTCAAGATATTCAAGTTTTATCTCCTGGGCTTCGATCGTCAGCACGGTCAGTACAGTCAGTAATTTTAGAGTTCTGTAACAAATCGGCAGTTTTAGGTACACGTTTAAGTCTAGACTTCCCTATCGGACCGCGTTTCCTAGACGTGTAAATGTGTATTGGTAAGTCAGCTAGAACATGATCATGGGTGTAACGTGGGGCTAATTTTTGTCGGCTAGCTAGGGGGTTGGAAACGAAAACTTGTTGGTTTGGTTGGTATTCAACCTCTGGTTCCCGTGATTTATTCCGATTATTTATTAATGCTGAACGTTCGGAGAAAGAATGTTCGTTAATTATTTCATACACTGTATTCATTCGGTCTCGGTGTGTTAGTATGTATTGCTGCAGTAAATGTTTTGTCAAGTCGATGTCGATTGGGTCTCTTGGGTTGAAATGTCCATTGACAATATCGTAAGGCCTACATTTAGTGAAACTATGTACAGAACTATTGTATCCTAGGATAGCATAGGGCATTAGATTTACTACATGCTCGTCTTTCTTTTGTAGTTTTAGGATTCGCAGATGTTCCAGTATAGTCGAGTGGAACCGCTCTATGTTACCGTTGTCGTTGGGACAGTGGGCTAACGTTCTATGATGGTTAATTTTGTGTAATTGTACGAACTCAGTAAATAGCTGGTTCGTAAATTCGGTCCCATTGTCGGTGACAATAGAAAGAGGAAGACCATGATGCGTACAGAAGGTAAGTAGGCTTTGTAAAATGCTCAATGCTGTTCCGTCTCTTAAATGATACGCTTGAGCATATTTGGAGAATACGTCTATAAATGTGAGGTACTTTTCATTATGTACTGTGAACATGTCCATATGGATAATCTCGAAAGGTTTGGTAGCGGGGGGAACGATATTGAATTGAGGTTTTAGAGGTTTCCTATCGTACTTAGCCTGACCACATATGGTACATTCATTAATATATTTCGTAATGTGTTCCCTCATTTTGGGCCAATAGTATCGTTTGGAAAGGGCCAGGAAACTTTCGTTGATACCGCGATGGTTAGTTTTACCTTCGTGGTAGTTCTTTATTATTTCTTGTTGTTGTAAATATTCTTTTATATTTTCGACCTCAACTTTAGTTAATACTAGATTCATAGACGAGCTTCTAAATTTATCTTGTAAGATTGGAATGACGTCATACATGCAAAGAGGGGGGTTAATTAATAGTCCGGTTTTGACTTTTGGGTTAACGTATTCTTTTATGGCGTTGACAAGGTCTACTTCCATTTCCGGTTGTCTAATCTGTACAGCTGTTCGAGTATGTGTATCAAAAGGTTTGGTCACTATTGGTCGTCTTTTTATGTCGCCTACGATTGTTAATATTAGTTGTCTGTGGAATTTATTAAGAGGTTCGTCGGTAATAGGAATTTCAAGGATCGGATTTTCTTGGCTTGTGTGGGCCGTTTGGGTAGTCGAGCCAGTGCTAGGGGCTGTTTTTACTGATGGGTTAGCTAACATAGAACACGATTCTTCGTTATGTATTTCCACCCGGGAAAGCGCATCGGCATTGGTGTTATTTTTTCCTTTTTTATATATGACAGAAAAATCGTATTCGCTTAATTTTAATTTCCACCTAGTGAGTCGTGAGTTCGGTTCCTTAAGATTCATTACCCACTGAAGGGGTTTATGATCAGTTAAGATTTTAAAAGTACGGCCAAATAGGTAGGGTCTAAAGTATTTGGTTGCCCACACGATGGCAAGGAGTTCTTTCTCTATAGTGCTGTAGTTCACTTCGCTCTCATTTAGAGTTCTAGAAGCGTAACATACAGGTTTGTCTGATCCTATGGGTCCCTGAGATAGGATGGCTCCTATCGCTACATTGGATGCGTCAGTGGTCAGGATGAATTCTTTGTTGAAGTCAGGATATTGAAGGATTGGGTCGTTAGTCAGGAGAGTCTTGCACTTTTCAAAGCAGTTAATATAGTCTGTGTCAAGAGTTATTTTTCGTCCCTTTTTTAGGCATTGTGTCAGAGGTTTAGTAATTCGAGCAAAGTCTGGGATGAACTTCCGATAATAACCTATAAGGCCTAAAAACTGTTTAATCTCTTTTGCGGTTTTGGGTAATGGATACTTTTCTATGGCTGATATTTTACTAGGATTTGGCTTAATGCCGTCTTTACTAATTATATGTCCTAAATAAGCGGTTTCCAATTTAAGAAACTCGGATTTATCCATTTGTATTTTAAAGTTGGATTCCCGTAGTTTCTGAAATACTTTCTCAAGATTTACCATGTGTTCTTGCAAGGAAGTGCTGAACACAATAATATCGTCTAAGTACACGAGACAAACTGTATTTTGTAGGTCACGGAGCACGTTATCCATGACACGCTGAAACGTGGATGGCGAGTTCTTCAGGCCCATGGGCATCCGTAAGAACTCGAAATGCCCATGTTCAACGTTGAATGCTGTTTTCGGTATGTCACTAGGGTTCATTTCGACCTGGTAAAATCCACTGGCTAAATCCAAGGTTGTGAAATATTGGCAATTTCCTAACTTATCTAGTACATCCGATATATTCGGTATTGGGTATTTATCACTAATGGTTTTTTCATTTAGCTTCCTAAAGTCGACTACGAGTCGCCATTTAGTCTTGCCAGAAGCATCAACCTTTTTAGGAACTATCCAGATGGGAGAGCTCCATGCAGATTCTGACGGACGAATTATACCTTGCTCTAGCATTTTACTGATTTGTTGCTTAACTTCGTCTCTATGAACGTAAGGGTACCGATAGCTTTTAGTATATATCGGTATCTCATCAGTGGTCCGGATGCTATGCTTTATTTTATTAGTAAATGTGAGCTGTTCGCCTTCTATATAAAAAACGTCGGCGTATTTGGCACATAATCTTTCTAAATTAGCGCGTTCTTCGGCATTTAGATGATCGGTGCGTAAACGTGATAATACTTCTTTGTAATGTGGGAGTGGTTGAACGTTGTGAGAGGACTCGATGTTATACGTCTCAGCACATATTGGACGATCTAGGGAGAAAATTATATCGTGCGGAGTCGGGTTAAATACCTCTATAATACCGCGGTTATTTGACACTAATGTTAGACATTCGTTTATCACGCAATTAGAAATGTATTGTTCGCTAACTAAGGCTTCTCCGTCATGGACATTAATAGGTACTTTTATTAATTTTGAAGATTGGGATGGTATCACGTCCTCGTAAAAATTAACATTTCTAGAGTTATACATTAAGATGGGGTTGTAAGCTAATCGTGTTACAAGTAATCTATCCTTTAGATCTATTCTAGCTTCCCATTTCTCTAATAGGTCGAGACCAATAAGGCCATCGAAGTAATCGTGGAATTTATAAATATATAATTTAATACTATCAGGCTCTTGGAATTCGGAAAAGCATGGAATAGTTATCGAATAATTATTCCTAGTTGTAGCATGCACATTCGTTACCTCGAAAGGATCATAATTTAAAGGTATATGTGGAAAATATTTTTGTATAGCTTCCGGATTAATGAAGGACTGATTCGCTCCGGTATCGATAAGAAATTTTAACGGAGGGTTAGAAATACATATGTATGGTAGCTGTCTCTGCGTATGTAAGTTAACTTCTATTTTGGCTTTTTTGAAAAACGAGTCTTTTGAAAATCCTGAGGCGAACTGCTTGTAGAAGGTTGGCAGTCTATGTTATCTTGTTGCGTTGTATCATTTATCTCAGTTGCGTCATGGTATTGGTAATGCTGTGTGTCGTCATAGTCATAGGTCACAGTATTGGTATAGTCGTCATTATCATTATAGTCGTAATAGTCGTATTGGTGTTCAGGATAATAGTAACTATCGTAATCAGCACATTCGTTAAAATTCATTTCCCTACTTTTGAAGTAATTTGAAGGCGGCGGGTTACCGTATTTGCGCCAATCATGACCGGTCAGACCTGTCGGAGGCATTGGTTTAGGTACGTAATGGCTAACCCCACTCATAGGCTTCGAACCTGAGTCATGGGGTGGATTCCTATTTGGTAATCTAAACGTATTACTATGGGGTTTATAATTAGGTGGCAAAGCGCGGAACATTTGTTGAGTTCTCGTAGGCATGTTATACTGTGGTGGCACGTTAGGCCTAAAACCTTGCTGCTGTGGTACATGTAAAGGTCGCTGTAAATTGGGCATTGGTATCGGTGCAGGAAAACTGAATGGTTTTTGCAAAGGTAAGGTCATGTAGCTAGGTTGGAGAGGCTTAGGTGCTTGAGGTTTCCTCTCGGCGAAAGATTCACCGCGTTGTTGCAAGTACATAACATTCAGTTCTTCCTGTACAAACTCCAAGGCTTTTTCAACGGTATCAGGACGCATGCAACGTATTCGTGAGCCCAGTGGCTCCTTTAAACCGCGCACGAAAGCTTGCTTCGTTAGATTCTTATATAATACACGTTTGGCTTCTATTGTAGTAGGCAAGGTTTCATGAAGCGTAACATACGTCATGATAGTGCTGAACAGTGTCTGACATCGTGCATAAAATTCTTGGGGAGAGCTGTTCCCCTGAGTAGCTAATGAGAGGTCATTATAGAGCGCCGTTTCGTCTCTTTGGTCCGAAAAGTTATTGATTAAAGCTGTACGAATGCCATGCCAGCTTTCAGGAATACCATTTGAATTTAAAGTAGTCGCGGCGGGTCCAGTTATTTTATTTAATATACCGTTAAGCAAACATAAGTTCGATAGTTCACTGCCAGGTTCATTACTTAGATATGCAGCACATATTTGGTCACATAATTTTATAAACCTAGTTAGTACATTAGGATTACCGTCAAACTCTGGCACTGGGCGTAAAACTTTGAAAATAGTGTCAGGGTCGTGGGCCATTTTTGATTCCTCGGTAATTATATCTAACTCTAAATAACAACTTAAATCTCTATTATAGTCTAAACTTTCTCTACGTGGCTGCCTACGCGATGTAGGGTCACAGTGGGATGATTTCCTTGGATAGAAAATTTTGACAGGAAAGATTTACACTAGGAAAAGGAAAGCAACACTAGATAAAATTCTGGTGTACTTACATAAATTTCATCTCGGTTTTCTCGGGATCGATGTCTTGATGTATCCTCTTGGCTTGCAGTTGACCCGTAGTAGATTCGAATACTCGTTTAAAGCTTGAAAGCTACGATAGCCTAACTAACTTTTGAGTATCCTACCGACTGCGCCAATTACGTTAACTGCAGCCGAAGGACCCAAAAAAAACCGAAACTAGTTTAAAATACTTTATTATAATATAAAAATTACAATATAATTACTATAACTAAAATATAAGTGAATCAGATCGATGCTAGATCTAGAATGAATTTTAATTATTACAGTAAAAATAAGGTAAAGGTATATTGCAGAGCTCCGGTTGCATCCGTTGACGTCAATGCTCACGTTCTGCTGAGTTGCGCCTCGTGCCGCTGCAATGTATCGGGGTCGCTGCTGTGTAGGCTCTTTACCTATGAGGCTATGTTATAACTATATTGTGTTACTGTTTATTATTTCAAATAGATCTATACAAATAAATAAAAACTGTTTATTTGTATAATAACTTTTTTTTTACTAAATGCATATAAAAGTATATTCGGTTTTTATAACCAAAAACAATTTTTAAAATTTTTGTCTATCTGTCCGTCTGTTCCGGCTAATCTCCGAAATGGCTGGTCTTATTTTAACGGGAATTTCACTGGCAGATAGCTGATGTTATAACTAAGGCTACTTTTATTTTATAAAATAATTAGGGTCCTGCGCAATAAAATTAAACCCCATGAAATCTAATCGTAATAAATTCCACGCGGAAAAAGACGCGGGAAGCAACTAGTAAATCAATAAAACAAAGGTTGCAGCTATACTGGTATTGTTCTTGCTGCTCGAACATATATTAAAATATATAAACAACAAATTGATTTTATGAAAATATACTATCATAATAGTGGAACGAATAATGATGGGAGGCCAAATTTAAACTTATCTGATAACGGATGCATTCGAATTGAACAATGGATGGACAGCCCACACGGTAATGTTTTAAACAACTTATAATGGGGCGATTAATCTGTGAAAATGAATAATTATTGTTTGACTTCATTTGTATTAAATTAAGCACTGATAGGGGAATATAACAAACATTATCAGTGAACTGCTGTAATAAATGGATTCACACGACACAAACACACATCCTTTGAATATAAATATACGAGTATTCTTTGTCAGTCATTGTCGTCCGATGCTGGACAGTTGGCTTTTTCAAGAATACGACATCAAATGACAACACTTATTGGAAAAATTACCTATTTTCGCGACACTTCACAGTCTTGTTGGTAAGCAAAAAAAACCATACATATGACACCACTCCCTGTCACCAATTTGTGGTATTTGAAATACCTTGTTACAGAACCTTATAGAACCTTCTTCATATTTGCCATATGGTAGCGGCGTAAAAAATCGATCTTCTCATTTCGTCTATACCTGTGAGTGGGTTAAGAAGTGATTATAAGTACGCCAAAGATCATTATCTATCATTAACTATCTTATTATATCATTAGATAATACTAATGATGATATAAATATCCTTGGGCCTACAAAAAGTTTCCGTCCATTAAACTAGTGACTAATATTCTAAAACTATAATAATAATTATTACAATTTGTATTTATATTAGATTCTAAAACTAACAGTGTTATTGACCGGCATTTACATCCATTACAGATCTGCGGTATTAATGTATCCCACCGAAAACATTATGTGAAAAGGGGCCATGTTCGGTACAAACAACGCTTAGGGTTGTCAGTTTCGCAGATTTAAGAGTTGAAATCAAAACGGACGCCATGCTCCATTCATCATTATCATTACAGCCCTTCACAAGTCCACTGCTGAACCTAGGCCTCCCCCAAAGAATGCCACAAAGCACGGTCCTGAGCCCCCTGCATCCATCGACTTCCTGCATATCTTACCAGGTCGTCACTCCATCTAGTGGGGACGCCCTACACTTCGCCTGCCGGTACGAGGCTGCCACTCGAGAACCTTTCTTCCCCATCGGTTGACGGTTCTTCGAGTTATATGGCCGGCCCATTGCCATTTCAGCTTACTAATCCGTTGGGCTATGTCGATCACTCTGGTTCTACTGCGGATATCCTCATTTCTGAGTTTATCACGCAGAGAAACTCCGAGCATAGCCCTCTCCATAGCTCGCTGAGCGACCTTGAGCTTCCTCATCCGGCCAGCAGTGAAGGACCACGTCTCAGTTCCGTAAGTCATCGCTGGCAACACGCACTGGGTGTACAGTCTCGTTTTCAAGTTTTGAGGTATACCTGACGAGAAGATGTGCCGTAATTTCCCGAACGCTGCCCAAACGAGTTGAATCCAACGATTGACCTCTCGGTCGAAGTTGGACTTACCTAGTCGGACTATTTGTCCCAGGTAAACATACTCGTCAACAACTTCGAGCTTAGTGTTCCCAACAACTACCGGCATAGGTGTGACATGGACATTAAACATGATCTTTGTTTTGTCCATGTTCATCTTAAGACCTATCCGTTGGGAAACACTATTGAGGTCATTGAGCATAGTGCTTAGGTCCTCCAGCGATTCTGCCATAAGGACTATATCGTCGGCAAATCGAAGGTGAGTGATGTACTCGCCATTGATGTTGATACCGTATCCTTTCCAGTCCAGAAGCTTGAAAACATCTTCCAATGCAGCGGT